TATATATATATTTAACCAAATAATAATACTAGATAAATAATATTACCAGTAAAAATTGCTGCATACTCTAGTAAAGTACGTACAGAAGGCAAAAAAAAAAAAAAAAGTCAAAAGTCAAATTATTCGGCGCCATTAATATACTTTAAAATTTAATGATAAAACTTATTTTTTAAGGGTAAATTTAAGATTAAATATTAAATTATTTTCTGCTTTATTTATTTTTATAAATTTTGTGTTCCACTACTTGACCACCATCACCTGGAAACCCATTGTATATATATATATATATATATTTTGGAGGGTTGATTATGATGAGAGTTATTGGACGAATAAATACCCAGAAAAAATCTACACCGTTAATTTAAAATCCAACGGAGGAGAAGTGGTTTCTCAGTTTCAGAAAACCAGAACATGGGTTTCTGCTCTAGTGCTTATATCAGAGATAGTGGCTTCTCATTTCTGTCACCACCTTTTTCTTAATATATCTATATTTATATTTATATATATATATATATTATATGTATGGGTATACGTGTGAGATTAACGGTCAAAATATTTGACATAATTAGATTTTTTTAGTATAATAATTTTTTTCGAGTTAAATTATACGTAAGTTTAAACATAACTTTAATTATATTAATTACTGAATTACTCTGATAGTTGTAGGACTTAATGAACTACTATATATATATATATATATAGATATGTACGTATGTATGTGTGTATGTATTGATGGTGTATTAATATTGTAATTGAAGTTGAACTTTTTGAAAGTTGAAATCTCTAGTGTTTACTTGCATGGTTCTTCTCTACTTATAGCTTGTCTCACAAGTCATACCTCGAAACTGGATTTTGTCGAATTTAATTATTAAATACAATCAAATATAATTTATATATATAATTTTTATTTATTCCGTACGTAAATATTTTATTTTTTCTACACTAATCGAGAATCCAATAAAGAAACCAAACAATGCCTAGGAATCTAAAACATATATGTATATATATATATATATGTGTGTGTGTGTGTGTGTGTATCATTTCTTTATGTTCTTCTTCCCCATAAGAAATATAAAAAAATAATGAACGACCCATGAATCACCCTCACATGCATGCATACATACATTCATACAATTCTATATTTACCTTGTAGGGTAATTTTTTTTTTACTATAAATAGAAGTTAAATTTTGAACTTTTATTTTAATTTAGAACCGAAATTACCACAAAGTAATCTTTACTTTGTATATGTATATAACTATGAACTTCAACATATATATATATATATATATATTATTGCAATATAATCTTTAAACACATAAGTAGAAGTTTAAATTGTAAGTTTGAAATGAAATTACCAAAGAATAAATACCCATTATTTTGTATAACTTTTTTTTAGAACAATATAATCTTTACTTTGTATATGTATATGTATATAACTATGAACTTCAACACACATATATATATATATATATATTATTGCAATATAATCTTTAAACACATAAATAGAAGTTCAAAATTTAAGTTAGAAATGAAATTACCAAAGAATAAATACCCATTATTTTGTATAGCTTTTTTTTAGAACAATATAATATTTACTTTGTATATGTATATGTATATAACTATGAACTTCAATATATATATATATATATATATATATATATATATATTATTGCAATATAATCTTTAAACACATAAATAGAAGTTCAAATTTTAAGTTAGAAATGAAATTACCAAAGAATAAATACCCATTATTTTGTATAGCTTTTTTTTATAACAATATAATCTTTACTTTGTATACGTATATGTATATAACTATGAACTTCAACGTATATATATATATATATTATTGCAATATAATCTTTACTTATGCATCAAAGACAAAAAAGAAATACATAAATTTAATTAACATATAAAAGATCAATTTCATTTCACACATTTGTATATATAATAATATCTCAATTTATTACATGATATTGATGTAAATTCTGTATGACATCTTAAATATTAAATAAATAATTTTAAAACAATATAACTATAGCTTAATTAGGACTTATACATAATATAATTCAACTATAGAATAAAACATTTTTGTATAGTGATTATATCATGATATACTTGGGAATTTTAAATTGGCTTATAGTTATAAAGTGCTTATACACTCAATTATTAATGAAAACAATGGCGACTTATTTCCAATATAAATATTTTAATAAGATCAACCCTACACTTGTCAAATCATCATCTCATCAAAAGATCTATGACCAAAAGTCTCAAGCTCTATATATATATACACGTATATGTGGTGTACTGGGTAGGTATATACATATAATATATATATATATATGTGTGTGTGTATCCGGCAAAAGGGTCGTGCCCACGAGTGGAAGAAAGAGCAGAGCTCCTGGAAATCAGCTTCCATGGAATTTAAAAAGCTAAACCTAATCTCAGTTGCAGACAACCATCCAGAAGAGAATCACAGATTTTCCACTCATTGGGAATTTTCAATTTAAGATATTTACACGTGGCAGAATGCGAACTTGCCAAGTGGACATCGAGTACGTGCTGAGCTGGACACTCTAATCAACAACTCTTGAGTGATAATAATTCCAAAATCCTTTTTTTTTTTTTAATTTTGTCTGGTAATTGCTTGCGGAAATTGAGTAAGTCGTTATTAATTAAAAAATTAAATTAATCTAAATAATTATTTTAATCACACAATTATGATCTTAATCTCATGCCACCCATTACATTTCCCACTTTAAATTGCTTAATTGATTTTTCTCTATAGTGCGTAATTTTATTTTGATTAGGGTTTAATTAAGAGAGGAATGACTAATCAAACTATACGATTAACAACTAATTAAAAACTAATTAATTACATTAAAAGGGTAATGTCATCCACTATAAAATCAATCAAAAAATATATTAAAATAATTGGGTTTTTTTTTTAATTTTTTTTTTCAAAATTTGGGGTAAGTAAGAGTATAAATTATTGTTTATTAGTGTAAGTCAAAATTTACATTTCGTATTTTAAAATTTTTTAAAAAAACCCATTAATCAATGTCTTTAATTATATTTTGGGAAAAATAAAATAGGCTTTGGCCAAGAACAAGAGTCTTGATTCTCCAAAATTTAGGGCTTTTTTTTTTTGAATTAATAAAAGCCAATCATTTGTGAACCAACCAAACCCAATAATTCTCCCTAATTAATTAAAATTTAAATTTTATTAAATTTATTTAAAAAAAAAAAACCCACTAATTGTTCTCTACCAAATCATTTAATTTTAGGGTCAAATTAAAATTATTTATCAATTAATTAACATTAATTAATAAAAAAATCATATT